AGAGAGAGAGAGAGAGAGAGAGAGAGAGAGAGAGACAGACAGACAGAGAGAGAGAGAGAGAGACAGACAGACAGAGAGAGAGAGAGAGACAGACAGAGAGAGAGAGAGAGACAGAGAGAGAGAGAGAGAGGGATCAGGTTCACTAATTGGGGACATGAAGGTATTGAAGGACGACTCTGTCGCTGATTTTGGCCCGCAGTAGTGAACCCCATATATTTCTGTTTTTTCCTTGTTCTCCTTTCTTTCTTTCTTACTTTGTTTTTTTTTTTTTTCATTTTCATTTTCTTCTTCTTCCTTTCTTCAAGTCTTTCTTTTTTTCTTTCTTTCCGAATGATCGGCCTTTCGGTGGGCTCCAACGGCAAAACTTGTTGGCAGTTGACTCTACTTTCGTAGCCCCAAGCCTTTCAACCTTGTACTTTTTTTTCGTTTCTGCCCTTCTGAAGACTCGTAGGCACCCGGAGGTCTATCTAATGTGTGTCCTAGCCTTCGGTCCACTTACTGTAGGTTTCCATGTGAATGCATGTACTTTGGATCTTTACCAAAATGCGCTCGTAGATGTTTGTCGTTTGGACGGTTGTATAGTTCTGTAGGTGCGTCGTGCGTTGTACGTCTACGGAAGCTGCGTACAAGTAGGCCACTCGTTGAATTAGGGGTTATTGTCATTGCTTTACTTACCACGGGCTTGGTGGAGGTCCCATTGTCTGTCTGTTCTGTTGTTGTGGACATGTGCGAAAACCATCACAGTATCCGTATGTGAGTGTACACTAAGTGTGTTTGCTGTTTCCTTTTTCTGGCTCTACATTCTTTCATCCAGTGACCTGTAATTTATATGCTTGGTTTGTTAGCATCAACCCCTCTTCTTCCTCTTCCACGTGTGCACGCGCTTTTGTCTTTCCCACCCCCTGTCTGTCTGTTCTGTGTTGTGGTCCTGACCAATTTCGGAGTGTTCAATCGGCAGAAAGTTCAATGACGTCCAATTGCAAAAAGAAATGTTTAAACATGAGGGGAGGGAGAGAGAAAAAGGTGATCCCGAATCCTGCTTCCTCCCCTCTTATTCGAACAAGAAAGAACAATAATAATGTTGAATGGCTGAACATCATCTATGTTGCATTGACGAATCTCTACCGCAGGAAGAAATCCTTCATAGGTCAAAGATATGCATGGACAACACAAAGCAGTTATGTGGTCTGTCTGCTCTGTCTGTTGTGTTTGTCTGTCTGTCTGTCCATTTGTCTGTCGGTCTGCTCTGGTTTGTATGTCTGTCTGTCTGTCTGTCTGTCTGTCCGTCTGTCTGTTTGTCAGTTTGTCTGTCTGTCGCCTTCAGTCAGTCAGTCAGTCAGTCAGTCTGTTTGTATG